TTCTGCAATGAAAAAGGCTACCCTTGCCAGTCTTTTTCATTGCAGCTCCAACGACAAGCCGCCGAGACATGGCCTGTGTCCACTTGGACCGAAAAGCTGGTGCGGATACCAAAGGGTCGAAGCACTCGGCCAAGAGAAATATGTACACAAAGGAGGACTTCCAAATGATGTGCTCAACAAGGTTAAAACTGTCTACAGTGATCTGTGCTCTGATGAACTTCTAATGAAGTGCCTTCATGAAAAGACTCAAAATGCTAATGAGTGTTTCAATGGTCTAATATGGCAGTGGGCACCCAAAGAGGTCTAACGTAAGCTTGCCTACAGTAATGTTTGCCTTGCATGATCCTGTGGCACACTTTAATAATGGCAGTGTAAGCACCCTATATATCCTGAAGCAAGCTAGCATATAACCAGGGTACCACACGACGAAAGCTTGCATCGCCATAGATCACCTGCGCATGCAGAATGCTAAACGCAAGTCAGCGGATGGGACAAAACAGGCCAGGAAGATAACATGAGCAGCCACCCGAACAAAAGGAGACAACAATGCTTCCGCAGACGGGCCCAGCTATGAATCTGGTGCATTTTAGGCCTGCATGCGAAGACTGTGACCCTTTTTTCAAGCTCGGAAATTTTTGTTTACGTTTTCCTGGAGAGAGAAGTAAACGTTTATTTTGAAACAGTGCCCCGAGCAATGCCCGGTGTCACCCTGAGGTGGGAGGGCTCTTTAGTCCAGGAACCCTCTAAAAAAACAATTTTTTCCAAATGTTGCGATGCAAACTTTGATAACGTATTTCTCAGCGTATACTTTGAACTGAAATTTTGCACAATGATTTACAACATATATATCTGTGCAGTGAACTAGAATAAAAGAAATCCAACGAATATTTTTCAGTTCACAGCTGAATTCTCCAACAGGATCAGTCTAAATTGGCATTTTTTTACCGTTTTTTTTGTTTTTTTTAGCATTACTTCCTTGATATTCACTGCATAACATTTATTCTAGTTCACTGCATAGCTCCAGTCTTTAGTTACACAAATGTCAAAGCTTTACTGAATAAAGCCACCCATTAGTCGCTTATCACAGCTGGCGTGGCTAGCACTTCTAATGCTATTTTTGACAAAGATTACCTCCCAATAAATAAATATTCAATACTTTGCACTGTAAATAGCTGGGTAAATTAAATAAGACATACTGGTTTTGAGAAAAAAGTTATTTCAACGCTGCCTGCCCTTAAAAAAATTTTTGTTTTTGAGTGGCCTACCATCTTAAGATGATGTTAGCATTCTTCCAAGACTCTGGTACTCTTCCCGTCAGGAGACACCTCGTAAACAGGGTGGCTAGTTTTTCTAACACAATCTGTCCTCCATCTTTCATCAGATCTGATGTTACCTGGTCCTCGCCAGTAGCTTTGCCTCTTTGCATGCTCTCCAAGGCTTTTCTGACTTTTATCATTACTGGTGGGGTGTCATTTGGGTTACTGCTAGTTTTATAGTATTAAGGTCGTGGTTGCCCCGACTACTGTACAGATCTCTGTAAAACTCCTTCGCTATTTTAACTATCCTATCCATATTGGCAGTTATTTTGCCTTCTTTGTCCTTTAGTGCATACCTCCAGATTTTTTCTTATTCCAAGTATCCTCTTCACTGCTTTGACGCTTCCTCCATTTTTTCAGAGTGTGTTCAATTCTCTCCATGTTATACCTTCTTACATCAGACATCTTACGCTTATTAATCAACTTGGAAAGCTCGGACAGTTCTATTTTGTTCGTTGTACTTGAGACTTTCATGCTTTGACGCTTCTTAATGAGATTCTTCGTTTTCTGGGAAAACTTGCCAGTGTTTTGCCTAACTACCCTCCCTCCAACTTCCACTGCACACTCCCTAATGATACTCGTCAGATTATCATTCATTGTATCTATGCTAAGGTTGGTTTCCTCATTAAGAGCCGAGTACCTGTTCCGAAACGAGACTCTAAATTCCTGTACTTTCCATCTCAGTGCTAGCTCATTGATTGACTTCTTGCGTATCAGTTTCTGTCGTTGCTTCTTCAAGTCTAGGCGAATTTAAGACCGTACCATTCTATGGTCACCTTGCCAACCGAACCTTGCCAACCGTTTCCACATCCTGTACGATGCCTGGGTGTGCACTCATTATAAAGTCTATTTCGTTCTTATTTTCACCATTACGGCTCCTCCATGTCCACTTAATGTTTCCTCGTTTTCGATAGAAGGTATTCAAAAACCGTAAATTATTGCGCTCTGCAAATTCTACTAGTACCTCTTCTCTGGCATTTATAGTACCGATGCCATCATCTCCTACTGCCTGGTTCTTCCCTACCTTTGCATTGAAGTCACCCATCAATATAGTATACTGTGTTTTCACCTTGCTCATTGCAGGTTCCACGTCTTCATAGAAGCTTTCAACTGCAGTGTCATCATGGCTGGTTGTATGTGCGTAAGCCTGTACCACCTTCATCTTGTATTTCTTATTGAGTTTAATTACGATACCTACCACCCTTTTATTAATGCTACAGTATTCCTCTATATTGCCAGCTATGTTCCTGTGAATTAGGAACACCGCTCCCAGTTCTCTTCTGTCAGCCAAGCCTTGATAGCAAAGGACGTGCCCATTCTGTAGCACCGTATAGGCCTCATCTGTCCTCCTAACCTCGCTAAGCCCTATTATATCCCATTTAACATCTTCTAGCTCCTCATTGCAAAATATCAATGTTGCCTTTTTTTACATGAATAATGGTTTCACACCACACGCGAAAACAAAATTTGGGCTTGATTAGCACTCATTGAAAAAATTGGCATTTATAGGCATTTAGGCACGAACACCTAAAATAGGCATTTATAGCCATTATAAAAACACCATAAAAGCCCTTCTTAACCTCTAATTCAAGCTTATTATGAAAAAATTGGCAGGATAGGAACGCAAGGAACAAAATAGGCATCTGCCTATAATCCGGTCTCTAGTTATGATGAATGACACCGCCACACGGGCATCTAGAAAGAAGCAGTAACGGAAGAAGACGATAATAAAAACAGCTGGCCCAGGATTGTGTGCTGTCTCTCTGTTCATTATTCGTTACAATATATATATATAGCCATAGTAGAATGAGTAACAGTTTGACTATAAATACCTTTGGTCGTGGAAATAGAGAGCTGTATTACTAAGCTATATCTGTAGGAGACGTTTTCACCAAACTACTGTTCTACTGTAGAGGCTCTTCGTGTTGAGCACCGGTTAGTTTTAATTGGATGGCCATTTGTGTTTAGCCAGTTGACCAGCTGGGAATCAGTTTAATTTAAGTGGTTGAACAGTTGAGCACCAGTTACTTTCACTTGGATGACCAGATCTATTCAATTAGTCAACTAATTAAATACCACATACTTTCGACTGGCAGTCGGACACCAGTTCTCTTCTATTGATCAGCTATTTTAGCTTCAGGTGAATGACCAGTTAGATCCCATACGACATCAACTGACCAACTATTTAACCACTAGCTCAGTCCAAATGGCTATAATCAATTGGATATGAACTGCTTTACCAATTGGGTGTAATTTGTACGGTACCAATGGGTAGCGAAATTCCAATTGGTTGAAAGCCAATGGGTGCCAATTTGTATTTTTCCAATTGAACCACTTCAACATTTTTAACTAGACATGCTCTCGCCCGTGAAAGGCAACGCCGACAATCTCACACGGAGACAAGCGTTCGGGAAGCAGCGGCAAAACGGCAACGCCGACAATAAGCTGCTGTCCTGGACGTTAAGAACGCGGGAAGAGGCTCAGCGGCAAACACATCGTGTATACTGTGCACGCGGGTTGCCATTCATTTACATGCGCGAGTGGGCAATGTCACGGGTGATCAATGGTAAGATCGATTTCCAGTGTTTCGCCCACTCGTCACACGTTCGTTATTCACTCCACGCGAATGCCGTTCTGGCAGCGTACTCAAGTTTCCCGCGCGCACCACACGGCTCTCCGACCGTGACGGTTACGGCAAGCAGAGCGAAATAAATACACACAACAAAAACAAGACGCGACGGCAGCGTCGATGCCGCGAACGAACGAGCAGAGAACGACTTGACAGGTCGTGACAGCGCACTCACACACGCCTACGTTGACTCCTCCAAGGCGGGCACACCGCATGTACAAACGACCCAAGGGCGGCATAGCGGAAGAAACGAAAACATCACAGCCCAGCGAAAATCCAGTTTGCGGTCGCAGTTTTTATTTCTTGCTCAGTTTGCGTGTGCCGCTCGTCACCCACTCGAGCAACTGAACACGCGCGTCATCGAAAGAATCAACAAATAAAACTGTGACAGGTGAGGAAAAGAACCCCCCGCTGGCTCGGAACCGGCAGCGCATCAATAACTTCATCGGACATGGCTCGTCAGAGCAGGTGACAGCTGTAAAGCGGTCGAGTTACGGGAGCATCGGCTCGCATCTCGGATGCGAGAGTTGCGATAAGGGCATTACCAATCAGCAGGCGATAGAGGGGTTACTTGATAACCGCGCGTACGTGCGACGTTAAAAACAACCGCTTCGCTCAGAGATTAGAACCCTTTGGGGCCAACAGAGCAGTTTTTGAGGAAGGGAATAAGTGCGAAGGGCGACGCGTTCTCTCTAGACGTTACGTAATAGCAAACGTCGGGACCTAAAGCCATCGCAGCCCCGTAAAAAACGCCACGAGCGCCGGTTTTGATTACGATTGATTGCACGCTCACCGTCGCGAACAGAGAGATAAACAAAGCTTGAAGTTATCCACTGACAAGCGATTGACAAAAGTACAATTTTCAGTGAGAGTAGTTTCACATTCGACTGATGTGAAACAACCAAATGTTTAGTCTAGCTCAACTTGTACAGCCCAAAACACACTCACCTACGTGCATAGTCTGCAACGATGGTGAAAAACGCGCTTAGTTCATTCACGTACGAACTGATCACCGCCACTGAGGCAGCAGTGCGATAGAAAATGACATTACCGACCTCCTCCAACGAGACGAATTCGTGTGATCCCAAGGCAGGATCGCGTAGACAGATCGGCTCTTCAGGACGCTGTTTGGGCGTCAGTATAGATTTCCCTTTGAACAGAAGCTGCACGCCGATCTTCAGGCACATCCAGAGGCCCAGGCATGTGCCGATCGTCACCAGCAACAGCTGGCTCAGGGCCCGACGCAGAGTTTTGAACGCCATCGTTGAGCACCAAGTGGCGAGCTTTGAAAGGGGCCTTCTGCACTACGAGCTACGCTTCACCGCAATGCTCCATTATTAATGTACCCAAAGGCGCCGGCGACTCACGTGGAGCTCAGAACGCAATCTGCGCATGCGCACAATTAGTTCTTTTGTCAGTACCTATCATTGGATTTGTTTGAAAGTAGAATTGTGGGAATTGATGGAAAGCTCTTTCTAACCTTCCGAAACAGTGAAAAAAACCACTACTGCACCATACAAAAGTGACGTCATGATTTTTTTTTAGTTAGGCGCGTTATTTGAATATGGCTTGACTCCGCCGAATCGGCACGATGCGCTATCAGGATGCACGCGACTTTCAGAGTGCCTCCAAGGTTAGCTTGGTGCCTCCTCGTCGGCCTCCCGTCAGTCGGTCCAGCTACACTGCTGGTTGAAACGTTACTAAAACAAGGTAAGTTTCGCAGCTCCGCGCGTGCGACGGCACAAGCGGCTGACGCGTGAACTAATGGCGCTGCTCTTTCGTTTTGCTTAGAGTTATTGTATGTGCTACCTTTAAATAGCATAAAGGTAGCATATACAGTAACTCTAGTTTTGCTCGGTAGTTTTGCTTCACATGCTACGTCACGCGTCACGACGCGTGTGTTGCTGCTCAGACACGACATCACGTTTTCGGCACTCGCTTGCTTCTTCGCGCCCTTATTTCGTGAACTGTCGTCTCTTACCTTTCTTTCCTCCATGTCTCTTACGATAGAGTTCGAACATGTGACAAAGGACGCCAATAAACAGTGCTTTCTTGTTTTGCGCTGGGCTGCAAAAGCGTCGACAGAAATGACACCGAACACGCTTTCTTTGAACCAACCGAAATCCCGATGAGTTTAAATAAATTGGGGGAAAGATTCACCTTTAAAGGTTGAACGTGATAGCGATGTTCTGTACCAAGGGTGTACTTTAAACATTTAGTGCATGAAATATTTTTGTACTTTCTATGCACCCAATATATGGCCTTAAGGAAATGGGCACAGTAACGTGTGTGCCTCTTATAGTAGGTGACCGGCTTTAAACCATCAAGACATTATGATAATCGCATGATCTGGCACCCGATGGCAGTGTATACTTGCACCATGCATTATTACTGCAACAATTCATGTTGTAATGTGAAGCACCTATACAGGCCGCGTGTATTTGTAAAGCATGAAAATTACTTTCACTGCATTTCTAAGCAGAAGAGATTATTTTCAGTGCATTCACAAGTGGACGTGTGCCTTGTACCAAGACTGTACAAAGACCTGATTGCTGTAATGATGCCCACAGCAGTACAAAAATAACTAAAGAATAACGCCCCTGGGCAAGACGTGCAAAAGCGAGTGAAGAGACTGACAGCGGATCGATAGAATCGTTTTTCTTCAAGTTACACATGAGCACATTGCCTGTGGAAACGTGGCTGAAATACAAAGGCATATTTGTACCATGAGCGCATGAAGCTCTTTCATTTCGGGGAGGGCACACACTTGAAATGGTCATTTCTTGCTCTCTATGCCACGGTGAAAAAAATTTGGGAAGGGGGTGGAGCGAGGAACCCTGGGTACGGCCCTGCATAGACGCAAGCTGCACTCTGTGTAACAAACCGGAGACGATTGAACATGCCGTCATTGATTTCTGGGATCCAATATTTTTTTTACGTTGTATTACAAGGAACTTTAAAGAAAGATTTTCCGATAACATCTCATAGAATACGTTATCTATAAATACAAACGGAGGGTGGTGTTCCATACGATATGATATGATTACTGGGCCTTTACAGTCTCTCGATAACACACATGGCTATGAGGCTCATAAATCCTAAAGAACAATCGGCATGGGAACTTTCCTGAATGTGTAACACATGTGTGCGAGATATATTGAACGTTGAATGAACCTCCAGATTGTATGGAGGTGTTTGATGAAAAGGTGAAATGAAGTATTTTTAAACGATCACAATGGTGGAGTGAACCAAAGTGGTTTTTATGAAGACAAATTTCTTAATTTTGAAATAAAATGTTATAAAAATGCAGGCACGTGCCTGTGTAATAGAACACCCGCTTTCTGCACAAACGCCCCGTGTTGGATCCCCACTGTGACCAACAGTGTTTAACTTTTATTTCATTTCAATATTTCTCAATTTTGGGTCACGTCCAAGATCATAATTTTTTACTCACAACCAAGTAAGCTCACGCCAAAATTTCTGCGAAATGAGCTCTCTAACACTGATGCATTAAGAGTGGGAACAGATGCTGAGCCGCAAGAATAGGCGGCTCACTCACAAGTCCAAGATATGTGAGGAACATTTTAAGGTGGACGATATTATAAAATATTATAAGCACATTGTAAATGGAAATGAAATATTTCTACCTTGAGGAAAAGGGGTGCCAGGGGCATTGCCTTGCCTTTCTTCCGGTCTGCCGGAGCATATATTCAAGTCACAAGTGATAACAAGGACAAGCAGGTTGCAAAAAAGAACACGTGTGGCGATGACTTCATGCCAGAAAATGAAACAGGGGTGTCATGGAGTCGGTTGAGTGATTCTTGCTACGACACATCTCGGGGCATTTCACATCTCACGTCAGCTACACCGTTTGCGTTCAGTGAAGTGAAAAACGTCTCATGGCTTTCCGTGTCTCGGCGTCAAGAATTAATCGATGAAGTTGTGTCAGGGATAACGTGCGGTGTTTTATACTGCAGAACTGTTGTTCCGGAATAGCTGCTAGTACAAAAATCGTCATTTTTGAATGAGGTGGCAGCTGCACTATTAACTGCTACAACAAAGTGCACAAGCAGCCGTTGCGCGCTCTACCACTGTTGGCCATTTGGGAAGTTTAGGTAGACAGCCTGAACATCTGTAGAAGCATACCACCAGCCGATAATGTGCCAACAACTGATACTGTTCATCGAGTGTTTACAATGTGTTCACTTGCTTTCTCTGCCTGGGCCTACGGAGACCACTGCGAACATGCAAAGGTGGTGAAAACAAGAATACAAAGGTTCGCAACCTCTCAAAGAGGTTTGCTCATGTGGCTGCCCCAAAAAGGAACAAAATGAGGAGATCTTGCCCCTTGAGCGACAGCTTTCCACAGTTTCGAATGAGGGAATCAAAGGTGCCCTGGCTGAGCTACCTCCTTTGCTAAAGCTGTCATTTATGACATCGCAGAAGTAATGAGTGGTTGTTAATAACCAATTGAAAGATCTATGTCATGAGAGATGACAGATAACTGCACTCTCTAACTGCACTCACGAGAAAATTCTCTCATGAAAAAGATGGCTAATATAATCTATGCGTTAAAAAATGCGATTACGAGCAAACTGCATTTATAAAGTGTTTGCATGATAGCACAGCAGCCATTTAGTTGAGAAATCTTTCACCCCGATGAACACCGGAAAGTACATGAAAGATGCCCAGCTGATTGGAAAAATAAACTGCGCTTAAGACGAGTCACCAGAACAGAGAGACAACCGCGGACTAACAACTCGTCCTGAGTACCTCTATTCTTGTGTCTCGTCTTTAGCGCAGTTTATTTTTCTAATCATGTCTTACTAAGTAGCACCTAACACTAGCTTCTCGAGCCCAGCCGATTCCACCCGATAACAGCGTTCCGGGAACTGTAAAAAATAAATAAGCAAAAAGTAAATAAAAATAGGTTACCTGATAAAAAAATGGTCCACAATTTTAGTGGTGATTGCAAATGTTTTATAAATTTTGGTTTTTGAAGCAGTTGAGTTTACTTCACAAGTGTCAGTGGCAAATCTTGGCTCTCAGGACTGGCTAGAGCTGCGACGACAATGCGGATCATTCGCGCTGCAGCAGACGACGCACGCGGCTTGAAGCAAAATAGCACAGCAGCGCCAATAGTTCTCGCGCGGCCACTTCAGAGAGCGCGCGCAGTGCGGAAAGCTGCGAAACTGACCTGGGGTGCTATTCTGGACACTGTCGAATTCTGACATATTGTCAAATTTCATAATGATGACATTATAAGCCAATGAGAGAGGTCGTAGCAGCTCACTTGACCAATTAGCATTGATCAATGGCGGAATCTGACAACATGGCAGAATTCGACAATGTCCAGAATAGTGCCCCTGGTTCTAGTAACGTTGGTCCTGTCCACGGTTTTAGAAGTATTTGTGTGGTCATGTCTACAAGCTCCTTGATGATAAATGTTTGATGGCCAGGCCTCACATAATTGGCTATATTTATTATAATATGCTGCTTTGAAAATTAATGCACTTCCTGGGTGAAACGCCCAAGCACACGCAAAATTCAGATGCAGCTGGCTGAGTCAGTTTTTCCAGCTACTCCATCACTGTTGATTTGCATGGATTATCAAGGTTCTAGTGACAGGAAAGCGCACTGCAGCAGACAAGGTCTATGAACAGAGTAGCTGGGCACATAGATTTCACGAACGACTCGTATTTATGAGCTATCACGAAAAGCATGGCTTTTGGAACAGTCGAACATGCTTTGACTATCGCTGGGAGAATTTGTGATTTCGGCCACTGTTACTGTAGCGTTGAATTTTACTTCGGCTGGCGCATTGCGTCAGTGTTCGGAGTGCAGTCACAACTGGCAGATTAAAACCATAACAAGTAATGATGGACAAGTTGTCTGTCACAATCTTTATAGCAGCTAGCAGTCATTGTTTCTTTTTCTCTATTTTACCATGCCGAATATGCAACAAGAAACCTTGTTCTTGTGTCTTGTACCACTTGAAGCGACGTACGAAATACCGCAAGAAGGCATAAGCCACTTTCTTGACCTTCGTATCTCTTGTTCGTTTGAACACATTTGCTGGTGCTGCATCAACCGTGGTCGGAAAAGCCTCTCTTGCAGTACAATTCGGCACGAGAGATTGCCAGGTTATATTTTAAAAATGCCCTTTTGAAGTCATCACACTATGGCCGCTAGTTTTGCAAGACAAAGCAAGTGATTATCCTTGGCAGGCTATCCAGTGCTGGTGCAGGTATCGGTAAGCTGAATGCTGCATGGTCCACGTATGCAGGGACGGCCGCAGACCAATGATGAGCCCGATGCTGGGAATACCAGTGTCATACTGTATGTACATAAAATT